TACGGAATGCCGAGAGTAAAATAATGTTATAATAAAAAAAGGGCCACCGTTGTATAATGTTAGGCAAAGAATATCCCTGATGTAGTGAGGATCGGTTTGAGCTGCAAGTGTGGAACTGTCCGCTTGCAATCATTTTATATTAGCTGTTTGAACCAGGAGGCTTTAAAGTTTATGGTTCTCGATGCACAGATAACAACGTAATACATTATTTATAGGTAAGAAGTACACAAGTCAGTGATAAATACAACGCTTGTGAGGTTATTTGACAACTGCTTGGTACAGTAGCTAAAGTAGCTATTTGTGCATACTTTGTGGGAAACAATATGAGACCATGGACGATAAATTTTGGTATGAGGGCTGTCACTAGTCACACGTAAAACTTCGGAGCATATCGACCCACACCTGCACAGATGGTTGCTTTAGATACTGTACATTTATATTCATCTATTTCAGGATTGTTTCCCACACTTGACTGTATTAAACACCACTCGGTATATTTATTTATGAAATATCTGCAGGAATAAAACTTAGATTACCGGTCATTTTGGAATTCCTGTAGTTTTCTGTATGCTGATACTATACCTGTAGTGGACTGTACCAACCAATTTGAAACTAGTGGACTGTGCGTATACTACAAAACCACATACTTGTACCACATGGACCTCTTGGGTACCGATGCTTGGGGGGGGGTCTGTACACATAAAGCTCATTATATTGCTGTGGCTCTTCACTGTAGATTACCTAACACTGAAACAGTTACCAGTGTCATATGAGCAAGGTTTACACGATAGTCATTTTCTGATGTAAAAACGTCGTTTATAGTGTATAACCCCACTGCACACCTCACCACGAGATCAATAAGTATATTAAGTAACAGTTCTGTCTTTATGGTCATCCTGGCGACGCCTGGCTTTATATCAGGCATGAAATAGTTAACTAAATTGATTCACTTGAAACTTTTTCGGTGATTATCTACAGTAGATGGTATAGGTGGGAGTTATCTAAAGAAAAAGTCCGTATTGTCATCCAGTAAACTAACTTGACACAATCTGTTCATAATAGCATGGAACTGTGTTAACACTTAGCTATGATAAGTGTTATCTTATCGTTATCACTCCAGTAACTGTCGTGTCTTAGATGTCTACTCCCCAAGTCAGTAAAAATATAACATAACAAATATGGTAATATGATAAGTCTTGCCTACTTTACGTCCAGATTTCCCGACTGGCTGGAGAAGCCTTCTAGCCAATGCAGTTGTCTAGTCAGTGTGACTGCGGGTGTGGAGGTAGCTCGTTGTGTTTGTTCGTTATGCATAGTATACCCGGGAAACTGTGTTAAACCTTTACCATTTTAGGCATTTGGAGTTGCTCAAAGCTTAAGAAAATGAGTAGTTATGAGAAGAAAATAGTGATTTTATCAAGAATAATTTGGTGATAAAGCAATATTGATAATTTTAAGATGGTGTTTTGTATAGGGTGGAGGTGGTAGTTGTAAATACCTAAGACTGACTTGTAAACAAACTGTAATATCGAGATTGATTTGGAATTGGAATGAACTGTTATACAACAATTGATCAGAGAAATTTGTGTAAAAAAAAATTTAACGAACAACTCAAATGTGAAGCAATACGAAATATTTTTTTTTTACAAAGGATAAGTTTAAGGACGAATGTATGATTGAATGGCAATAATGAATTCTGTATCAAAATTAATCGGTATATACTGTACGTGTACCCCGGGTCGGTAATGTACCCTGGTCTCCGGGTGGGGCCCACCGCGCCCATTAAACTAGGGGCCGCGCGTGTTTAATAAGTCGGCCTCACCGGAGATGAGGTGAGGTGAACTAAACGGGTTCCTCGAGAAACGCCAGTAACTGGTGCCTCGCTCACTCTTACACCTCCATGTGTAGTGCAAGCGGTTGCGCTCCCCACCCGGGGTACGTTACCGACCCGGGGTACAGTAGCTAAAACAACTATCTGTTCATACTTCTTGGGAAACAATGAGACCATGGACGATAAATTTTGGTATATGAGGGCTGTCACTAGTCGTACGTACAATTTCGGAGCATATCGACTCCCACCTGCACAGATGGTTGTTTTAGCTACTGTACATTTGTTTGACCCATAGAAATATACCATACTATATCGATGCAAGAAAATTTATCCTCGTTGGTATCGGATTACACGAAATACGGTACAGGATTGTATGACCGTTAATACCGTGTCTATAATTTCCCAAATGTTTACGTTTGCACATAGGCTTGGCCACTGTATGATTGTTCTAGTATTGACATTCTCAAATACAATCCAGTATTTTTTTGTCAACTGCAGACATTATTGCAGCTGGTTCTTCATTTTTTTTATGCCATGTTTCTTGCCATTTTTTTTCTATTTTGGTTGCCTCCCTGCTGGTGGTTCTGGCCAAAGGAACTGAAATTAATTGATTAAAGTTAAGTAAAGCACGGTTTAGTACAACAGTTACTGTAGATGTATCACCCGCCATTTTGTACTCAGCATACCGGAAGTAATCCAAAACCGAAAAAAATCCCAAAGGCGATTAATTTAACTTCGTGATAAACGTGTTTTTGTTTATTTTCTAGAGCCAATGAAAACGATTCAACAGCTTTTTTTTAATTTGTGTTTTGACAAGTAACTTTGTCTTCAAAGCAATCATTACTTTTTGACGGGATCTCATACAAATTAGGTGTACGGCGGCGGCTGACTGCGTACAGTGCTCGTCTCCTGTTCTTAGGGTATCTGGTTCGATTCCAAGCACTTCCAGTCTACTTACCTGTAAATGGAGACATATTGTTACAGTCGGAGTGAGTGGTCGATACAGCTGTATGGACACTGTCCCTAATGGGTCGTCATGCCTACGGGACCCACTTTCATTTTAAGTGCAATTTGCATGTAGTCATCGATTATGTTCCACTTAATTTTTAGAAAAAAACTTCAAGAGAAACAAAGCAAACGGCTTGAAGAGGAGGCAAAGGGAACAGAGGCATGTACAGACGGAGAGAAGCAGTACAGCTTGACGTTAGTACAAGCCTTCCGCTCTACACGACACACAGGCTGTCCTGGCATCCCTCAGACTCATTACCATGCCAGAATGTCGTGGGTGATGTAAATCCCGTATTACATACGTGGCTCGTGTCCCGCCACTTCACTTTCATACCACGTGCATTAAAGCAAAAAGTAAAACTCTTGAAAAAAAATAATTCGGCACGCCGAGGAGTGTATGTCTCATCCACGCATTACATAAGTTCATTATACCTCCTAACGGGAGCAAAAACTCTCTCTCCCTCACTTCCTGAGGATACTTCATCATGTAGTTGAAGTGCGCATGCGTGGTGGTCGAGGACATACTGGCATCAGTAGTTGTAGAGATCTGGTATGCTAGTGGGAGTGCTGGTTCGAGCTAGCTGCTGCGTCAGTGGATGAGGGGATGTGCAGCTCTCAATCAATATCAACGTTTGTGTGGAGCTACACCCTTCGTACTCTAACAGTTGTGCTCGTAGGCTCCGTATGTCGACCTGTGATGCTGGTCCTATGTGTTAGATGATGTTTTGTGGCCCCTGGATTGATGGAATGTGGTCTTGTTGAATTTTAATGTGCCCCAAGCCAGCCAAAGACACACTAGAGTGACGAGAAGTTGATGCAAGGTGAATTTACTGAGTTGCCATGAGTCGGTATATACGGTTTCGTTATTACAAGTGAATGGATGTGTGACTGCCTCGTGTAATACTTTATATATCATGATATAGTCGTGGAAGAGATCGGAAAAACGGTTTTATAACATTGTGGATAAGAAAAGTCTTGTTTTCATCTTTATGAACTACTTGCCACGTATCAAAAACAAACGTGCGGCAAGAGTTCTGTACATAGCTCACGTGTACTGTACGTTATTGTTTATCAGAAATGTATCCAGGTTTCCAAATATAAATGATATAAACACTGCAGAAAACTAAATGAACCATTTAGAAGAATCTATTGTAATCTCAACGCGTGTGTTTCTTAGAAGGAGGAAAAGTGGACTGCAGCGTGCGCCAACAGTGACCTTGAGCTAGTGAGGTGGGAGGCTGCTGGGAGTTAATGTTCGCCATGATAATATTAGTGGAGGTTGGGAAGATGGTGCTGTGACAGTTTTTATCTTGTGGTCTGCCTGACGAAGTGTATCAGTTGCAGAGTTCCTGCTCGCGTTCACAATAATTCATCTTTAGGAAAATACATTTAAGTTTTACCTTACGACAATTAATTACCTCATTATCATGTCACTGGAGATACAGCAATGCAGATGGTTCTTAGGATAAATATTTACTTCCAATGTGATATATGGTGTACTGTACAAGTACCCATCTTATAGCAGATGGGAATTTTGCTCATCAAGCTGAAAAGTGAACTTCAGGGTGAGTTTATTCCATGTCATGAGATCATGAATATAAAATGTTAACGTTGAAGTACGAAATTAAAAGTTTTATGCATTTTTATAGAAAGTTAATATCTTAATTTCGTTGCCGTCGTGTGAGACAAAACAAGCAACAACACGTGTTGTATAGTGTACAAGACACTAATTTTTAGCAGCAACTTGACACTGTTAGTATGAATCAACGCCTCGGGTACAGTATACATCAGATAAGTGTTAGTTGATTTTATAGATGATGATCATAATGTTGAGTTCATCGAGGTGTTATTGTGTTTACGGGCGACTGTGGCGTGTTTTGGAAGTCAGCTCAGTGAGGGAGGGAGGCAACAGTGAAGGCTGGTGAGCGCGCGTGGCTAACCGTAATTATTTCATCGAGCTCTTTAACTAGACTTGAAATACTGACGATTGTTTGTGTGCAAAGAATCATCTTCTGGTTGCTAGTATTTTAGAAGAGTATTTCCACTCTTACCCTAACCCTCTTTTAGGTTGAGAGTCGTGAATTTGAGGAAGAGTGGTTGTCAGAAACATCTAACGCGTCTTGGCACAAGTAAATTTGGCTCTAGCTATACTGTTGGCAGTGCCAGTTGAGGAGTAACTTCCTCAACAGTAGGTTTGTGGTTGGTGAACAGCACTGCTGTAAAACAGGCGAGGTCGCTGAAGAGAACCAAGGGAACTGCTCGCTACTGTATTACCTGGTGTTGTGAGTCACAGTGAACTAGTAAGTTTTGACAGAAAAGTACAATCTTATCCATGTTAAACTGAAGAATGGCGTAAGATTACAGAGATAAGAAAACAAATACATGGAAAAAGTTTATTCAACCGGTATACCTGCATATACTGTACTGTGTTTATACAATGGGTACAGTTGCCAGTGTAGGCTTCATTAATTAAACGGCTTTTTACCCCGTGAAGCAAGTCAGTCGTGTGTCGTGTGGGTTTTAACTGGATTATTTTTTCTGCAAGTGCTCGTCATGTGTGGGCCCAGTAGTCCGCATTCCCTCCTGTGTATACTTTACAGTTATTGACATTTAGCATTTCTCTCGGCGTTTTTGTGCATTTAAAATTACTGGTTGAAATGTTCCTTTATTTAAATATTCGCAATAACTCAAATGTGACAGATACTTGAGATGGTGTCTAAACAAAACTGAATGTCACTGACTTAGTCCATGAAACTAACCGACCTAACAGCACAGTAATTCAACTCCTGGACTAATCAGGTTAGGTTAGGTTTTGGTGGTTATTCATAGACTGAGAACACATGACATAAGATCTGAAAACCAAAAGGCATAATGTTCAGTATATTATTAAGATTACTTGAAACTAGAAATCTACATTGATAATTCTAAGCACAAACTGGTGTAGTCAGTGAGGGTAACCGTACAAGTCGTTATGGCAACATTCACTATAAATGGTAAACTGTTTCCTTACGCCTAAGAGTCCTGGACTTGGCAGAGCGTAGCTAACTAAAATTTAACTTCTGGAGAAGAGTGTAGTTTTATTTCTGTTCAAATGGTATCTGTGTTATTACGGGCACTACTAATCTTACCATTCATTACCAGTTTTGTTGTTTCATTAAAGAAACTGAGGTTGTATCTTTCACTTTGGATTTTTTCTTCCTTATGTACTTGGCTAATTCACTACCTACACCTAGGTACAGTACGTACTGTAGTTTGAAGGCAACATCGTAAAGTTTGCTCTCTACTTATCACATATAATCTAAAATCCAGAGTATATAAAATGTGTTTTTAGAGTCTTGGAGAGTAAAATCTTGTGGATTATCTTAAAAGAGGAAATTGCGATTGAACAAACTCAGTCAAGCGACGGCAACTGTGAATGGGATGCCAAATAGTTTTATATTGTAATTTGGCTCTTGTCCACCAGGTGGAAGGGGATAGTGACCCATATTGATGCTGTGTAACAATTGTACATGCCTGTATAATTATGTTTCAAGTACTTAATTTACACAATTTAAAAAAAATGTTTATACTATGGTACGTGAAATGGCAACTCTTAGTCAAGGCTATATACCTTCAGAGTTGCCAGTTATGCCGGGCTTATTTAGTGTAGGGGAACTGACCAAAGGCAAAATAATACCAGAATATTGTCTTCTTTAATAACAGACACTACGAGATTCTCAATTTCACTTTGATAACTATTTTCACTTCCCAGAACATACTCTCAGAACTATCGGAAATTTATTCTCTAATATACTACAGTATTACACTGAATTACGCTTCATAGTGGACACCAGTGACTCGGCATTATGATGTGTTTCGTGTTTAGTTAACAGGATGCAACTGTAGCGGCCTTGACCCCCTAGAACGACTGGGCTGGGGTAACTTGGTGGTCAACACTACCAGGGGGGTGCTGGTGGTAGAGTGGTACCGCTCTCGCCTTCGCAAGCGAGATGTCTCGGGTTCGATTCCCGGGCCGGTGGAAGTTGTTTGGACATACTTCCTAGCCCCCATTAGTCCCTGTTCACCTAGCAGTGAAGTAGGTACCTGGTGTAAGTCGAAAGTTGCGAATTCGTATTCAGGGTCAAGTTGTTGGAGCTTCCAATAACTTGATGACATAAACCATTGACTCTTCAGGCTTCTGCGCCCTTAACTCATGAGACATAAAGGCAAGCATGAACTTAGCATGCTTCCCTGTTGGGCGCTGTAAACGCTTCTGCGCTTCACCTTACACAAGGATGTAGTGGAGTGCCCAATAAAAAAAAGAACCTGCCAACTGATCAATGTGTTGTATTTGGTACAGTGTTGAATGGATTATTCATATTATCTACTGTGCTTAATATAAGACGAATACAGTACATCTATTTGTTCAATGGCAACAACTTGGATACGTAACAACGCGTGTGGTTATTTTAATAATTATAATACAACACATAACACCCTCGATAAACCAAGCTTACCTTTAGTAAACTAATGTTAGGATAAGGATGAGGCCCTTGTTTGTCACCTAAAAATTTATATATCGTATAAAATAAAAATAAATAATTGCTTGACTTGCTGATACAGTAACACAACATCCCGACAGATTTACAAGTGTAGTTAACGAAGTCACTAGCCAGTGTAGGAAGGTTCCAGTAATGGACAAGAGGTAGAGAGACGTCATCACCCGACAATACCAGCGTTAATATGACTCTTGGGCAGATGGTGACAAAGGACGCACGAGCGTATGTTAGGAATTTCACTTCGTTTCTAAAAGTTTAAAGTAAGCTAAAAAAATGACTTATAAATGTTGAAAAAAAAAATGAAATTGATTTGTAATCATTCAGTATCTCGTTTGGTCGAGAGCTTTAGTGAAGTCCTGGTTCGTTCTGAAGGAGTATTTTAGTAGAAAAAAAGGTCGATGAGCTTTTTTTGTTTGTTATAATCAGTGCCTTTTGTGATGCAGGAAAATCTTTTATAATTGTGAGTAAACTTGAAATAAACAGTTAATTGAAAAGTGAAAAAAACCAGCCATGCAAGAAACGGCTAAGACTCCAGAACGGGTTAAATGTGTGGACTATAACAACCAAACGGAGACGATAGGAGGAGCTAGTCTCAGCCCCTCCAAGGAACCCGTTTCACTAGTATGTGGCGGCAGTCGTGGGTTGTCGCTGCTCGAGATTCAAATTATTCCAAAAGAGGACGCCTCAGCTGCAATCCCCACATCACCTTCTTCTCTTAAACATGAAGTAGATGGCTCCAAGGGGCACAATCAGGGACTGCACTCGGGACAGGAAGGTCAAGGACAGAAGATAGGTGGGGGAGGAAGGCCTGGCAACAATACAAGTCGGAGCGGTCAAAACTCGCCGATCGCGTCAACTGGGGAAGCTCCTCTCGTCTCGCCCTGCCAACCTAGATTTGCCAATTTCCTTCAGTCCACCGATAAAAGTAAGTCCCACTAATTTTGATATATTATTTACCAGCTATTATTATCATCCAAGATGATATAAAATAAACTTTGTCAATAAATTTGTTAAACTAAAAACCACACAACCCTGTAGGTCTAATACTGTTTATGTATTGCCTTAACAAACGTAGTTAAATTGTCATCGAAAAACGTTATTTTTCAGTGGCGCTTCCTAACACCCAGACCTTTACAGACTGTTGAACCTAACGTCATAATGTTTTACCACCATCATCTTACTCTTCTAATATCCTACATTGGCTTCATTTGTCTGCTGACGGGCTGAGAAAAGTCTCGAGTGCCTCGTTTCGGGTAGGAATGACTAGGTTAAGTTAGGTTAACCTAACCTAGTACGCCTGCCTTTTTTTTTTAAACTTAAGTAGGTATAAAGTTTAATCACGCAGAGAGCGCAGAATTACTCGTCTTGGTATTTTATCCTGTGGTTAATATTGTTCCATCTCGTAGTCGAGGGATTAAACAAAACTTGGCTGCTTCTACAAGATAATAGATTCAAACATATCCATAATCCATTTGCTCGTAAATGCCCGTTTTTACAAAGGAACACCTTACCAAGAGCATGAATTCATTCCTCTCTCTTCCTACTGTAACTTTAGTATTTTCATCTGGTTAGCGCTGGGCGATTACACTTAGCTGAGGAAACCCCGTCGGTATTGTCAAAGCGTTATTCAGCATTGTAATTTTTCCCGTGTGATATACAGTTTCCGTCCTCGCCCCTAGTATCCGGGAGACGAAATACTGTATCCAGGAAAGACACCACGACACACTCCTCCCCACTCACTAGAGTTCGGGGTTCACCCCTCAGGAAGATACGATTGCCAACGCGAAGTGGTAAACGCAAGAGTGGAGCCAACTGTGCTTCAGTTTAGTATACAATAGTTAATAATTAAATACCGTAAAACTATCTTGACTCAAGATTAAGATGAGTTAGCGTAAGGGTGTTTAATTATCAGGCGGTACAGTATAATCTAGGGGGCCTAACATTTGTGATGCTTGTTTTATTCCGCTAAGTATGATTATGAAGCGAGATTGTGGAAATGTCTTTAGTACAGCGCAAGTGGGCGTCTTCCCATTCCTCAGTCAAGGTTAAGGTGATGTCCGGTGAGGAAGGGAGGCAGGCAGACGGGAAGGTGGAGAGCGAGTGCCGGGTTGAGGTGGGGGTTGGGGGGAGCAACAGTTGTCAGAGGTGAGCGGTTACGCCACAAAATTTACGTCACGGTGTGCTTCACACAACACACAAAACTATTCTTCAGTGTCTCGTATCTTATAGAGATTTTCATTAATATCTGAGCCAGTTAATGATACATTATATTGTGTAGATTGTATTGGAAATCGGCCATGTGGTGCCGCTCCAGCGTGTTAGCAACCCTAAAGTGAGGTTGGTCTGAGCTAGACTCTCCTCCAGGCCTCAGTGTTTAGCTCGTGGCAAGCGAGGAAGAATTGATATTAGTGCTCTCTATTTTATATGCTAGTGTCGTGCCCCTGACATCATCTAGCGTATTGACATAACATCTTTGTGCGCCTTCAAGGTACTGTAATTGTTTGTCTATTTTGTGCTTGGTATTACTTTTAGAATAATTCTGAAAATTATTACCGTGGCGAATTCATGGGTGGATCCCGCCCACTCCCTCGTTTAGTTACGTGATGTTGGGGAAAGGAAGTTGCGTAAAAATGTCTCCTTTCTCTATACAGTATTGAAAACAATATTTTGGTATAAAACCAGAGTTTCAAATGTTAGATAGCAGGTTATGTGGTAGCTGTCAGTCACGGTGTAAGCATAACGTCACTCCCTGAACACCGATACGTTAATACTGATCATATTTACTGTAGAGGAATAACGTTCAAGTCCCTGACCTTTTGTGCATCTTATACTATCGGTTGCTGTCAAACCATTTTACATTTGGTAAATGTGAAGGAAACACGGCCAGCTATTAATACCTTAGATTTTGACATGAAACTTTCCAGTATTATATAGGAGTATTTTGAGTCCTAATCAGGTGTCGGTCAGATGATATTTTAAACCTTACAAGTTACTTAGAACCGCGTTACAATGGCTGATATGTGAGACCATTAAATTATTTATGAACAAAATTAAGGTTTTAGGTTTGGTCATGTTAATTAACGAGATAAACTGTATAATTATCGTATTTTTTATTATTGTTGACTATTGTACTCTTGTTATGATTCATCAGAGGGTGAAGTTGTATGAATCTAAATAGACTTCTATGAGGGTGGCATGCCTGACGTTGTACACTCCTCCATACAAATGTTTGCCGATGACGCCAAGTTATTTCGGGAAATAAAAAACCAAGCGGACTGTGAAGAGCTGCAGGAGGATCTCTGTGGGCTCCAGGAATGGTCGAAGAAATGGCTGCTGAGATTCAATGTCACGAAGTGTAAGAGGATGCACCTGGGGCGTACCAACGGTAAGGAGGCGTATCATAAGTCCCAACGGGATGAAGAAACTGCACTATTTGAGACTGTGTGAGAAGGACCTAGGTGTGTATGTTGACAATGAGCTGAAGTTCTCGGGCCATTGCGAGAAGGTAAACCAGGCAAATAAATTATTGGGTCTTATAAGAAGGTCGTTCAGATATCTAGACGGTCCGTCCCTCGTAACGATCTTCAAGAGTGAAGTGCTTCCCCATCTGGAGTACTGTCACCCCGTCTGCTCCCCGAGATATGCTAGGGACTGTCAGATGGTTGAAAATGTTCAAAGGAGGGCCACCAGACTGGTGCTTGCCCTTCTGCACCTCAGCTACCCTGAGAGATTGGAGCGCCTGAACTTGCCTAGCTTATACTACAGACGGGCAAGGGGTGACCTAGTTGAGGTGTATAAGCATCTCAGGGGGCACTACTCAGTTGAGTGTCCTTACTTGGAGCTGGCGGACGCTCGCCCCACAAAGGGTCACAGCTCAAGATTGAAGAAGCCGCAAATCCAGAAAACTGTGAGGGCAAACTTTTTCGGAGTGAGGGTTGTAAACTCTTGGAACAATCTACCAGAGAGTATTGTGACGGCACCGAGTGTGAGCTCTTTCAAGACAAGACTTGACCAACATTGGAGCGGGTTCAGGTACAGTCACCCAAAAAAGTCCTGTTGCGAACCACGAACCCCGAGATTTAGACTCTTGAATCCGAAGCATTTATGGACAGAATAATGTATCAGTGTCTACTGCTTCGGGTTCACGAGTCTGAATCTCGGGGTTCGTGGTTCGCGACAGGACTTTTTTGGGTGACTGTACATTTAGGAGCCGGTACATGCCTAATACTTACCAACTATGCGTGACAGAGACGTGACCGATCGCCCAAGCGGCTAACGAGCCAATCAGTGGTGAAGAGGATAAAAGTATATTGAAAGAGTTGGGGGGGATTACCACACACGCTCGATGGTGAGGAGGTAGGCTTGATATGGCCGTACAGCAATCACAAAAGGTTAGCGACTCGCCTGTCTATACCTGAAACCCGCCTCAAAGATTTATCCAAAAGATTTTCACTGGCCAAAAACCAGTTTGCACCTCCTCCAACTCTCTCAAAAGTTCACTGGTACAACTTTCCTTCATCATTAGAGAGCGTATATGTTATCTAATATAAGAGTCGTCGTGAAAGATCGTGGCCATATTAGTCGCCCACTTGCACGGTGTAGCTGTATGTGTAACCCAACACTACCAATCGCATGTATTTCTTCTGCCGTAACTGGAGACTTGAAAACATCTCGTTAAGGGAGTGTCAGTGTAAAATCCACGTCAGGTGATCTTCGTCTTTGTTCCCTGGTTAAGAGAACCATCTAGATGCATTCTCACATCCTCAATTCCAGGGAAATTTTAATATACGAACCTTTGAGAATTTGGCCCCAGCCACCACCATACCAGTGAGTAAGGTGGTGATAGCTCCGGTGAGTGTTTGATAGTTAGCCTACCAGCATCTCCGCCATCCTTATTTACCATCCAGGCACCAGCACCTTCACTTCGTTCACCAGTTGTGGCCGCCTGCAGCTCTCACGGTCCGTCCCCCTCAGTACCTCACCAGTGAAGGGATTTTGGTGACATGATTTTGAACTGACGAGTTGACGGTCGGAATTTTTTCGTAAGATGGCAGGTCAAAGGGTAAAGAAACGCTTAAATTCACTATGGTAATGATGTTTTTAAATAAATTGAACCAAAAAGGGTAAAAAATAAGGGTTAAAGTTGCTAAAAAGTACGTGACTGCGAAAAACTCTGCGATTGGTTGTGACGTCACTTCTGTGGCAAGCCGCAGACCGGGAATCAGCCAGCTGTGCAATATGTGATGTTGTTACCAACATAAATACAGGACCTGTGGCCATATACAATGTTCAAGCAAAGGGCAAAGTGTCGTTGGTGCTTCGTGCCATTGTGTAAGAGGACCGACAATTCCTCACCAGGCAAAATATTCATCACTGCCGAAAGATAAGAAAAAGATGGTGGCTGCTGCTCGACGGCACTTCCCCATGAGTCCAGCACCTACTGTAAACAATGAGACACATTATCTCTAGAGGATTTCTGTTGCAAAACATTTTTCGATAGCATAAAAAAATACAGATCATATGTTAGGTTAAGGTATGATTAGTTAACTTAACATACATCGGTAAGGGGGAGGGGGTAGTAACTTAAAACTAGTGATTTGAGATACAAATGAAGGTCTAAACCGTTCATAACACACCGCAAACCATCAGAGAAAAAACTTAGTCTGCATGTCTAAGTACAGGGATGACCAAAGCTTAAAATTTACCCAATATTGCCTCTCGAATCTAAACATCAAAATACTTCTGGTAGTTAAAGTAAAATTTTAACCAATAATTAATATAAATGGTGATATATCCCAGTGGTTCGTTAGTGAATCATGAAAACAACAACAGCACTGTTGTTATGTCATCAGGCATTCTCCAAAAGTCCAGACAATGTCATTACTTCTAAATTTACTCGTATCTCCATCTAGTACTGATATACTC